GTAGGTTTCGGAATGATTTTTCGGTTTCTTTACTTACAGGTGTTTGTTGAGCTTTAATAGAGACGGTGAGAGGGTTAATTAAGTCGTGAGGTAAGGAGATATGAGGTGAAATCCGACGGGGAAGATAGAGGTTGGGTCGTACTTGTCATGTTGGGAGGAGGTACGACTGGGGTTTTTAATTTTTTTTTTTGCTCTTGGGAGGGATTTCGCGGAGGATTTATCGTTTTAAGGGGGAGGGTATATACGCCGGGGAGATTATGGGTTGCATCGCTATTAAAGAATTTGGTGTGTTTTAGATACTATTTCGTGAACAAAGGGATTGGTTTTTGGGCTACTTCTACCTTCGCGAGGGATGGGGCCTTTTTTTGAAGGTGATTGAAGGTTTTTTGAAGGTTTTTCTGAAGGTTTTAGCAAGTGGAAACTGGTTTACACGAGTGGAGGGCCTCCCTAACCCCTTACAAAAGCATGGAACTTAAATCTGTTTGTTCATAGACCCTCCTGACCCCCAGCTCTGCATAGTAGCGTTGCACAGTGGCGCTCCCCTACATATGTGGACAGGAAAGGGTCATTCTTCTGGGTAATATTGGAGTAATTCTCTGCAGTAGTCCCCAACATTGTCACAAAATTTATTCAATGATGTAAGTTGCTGGAACGGCATGTCCTTTGGGTACTTCCTGATGGGAGGTTTGCGGCCAACATCCCCCCCCCCTCTCACCAAATGTCTTCTTAAATTTGTCCAAGCTTTTTATGTCCAATTTGTAAAGATTAACCAAATTATCCATTAGTTCCGTTTAACAAAACATATTTCCAGCAGTCATCATTATGTTCTGAAAGTTTCTCACATTCATTTCAATGTCAAAAAAGTACTCGGTTCTCCTGAGTTTCCATTTAGTAAATTTCAGATTTCAATTCAACCAGGCTTGGATGAAAAAAAAAAATTTTTCTTTGGTATGGAATACTCCTTGGTTATTTAATACTATTATTATTTTGTTTTCTATTGTATCTGACTCATTAATAAGTGACGTAATTTATATTCTCTGACTCATATGGAGATAAAATGTGGTAAAGTTATACTTTGTTAGCATGCACTATATTTTTGAGAATTAGCATGATTTATATGCCACAAAATATAACAAAAACACTGAAATAGCTTTAAAATGTGTTGTTGATACGAATGCCAGTCACTACGGCCCTCAACCACTACGGCCCCAGTCACTTCGGCCTCTGATCCCAGTCACTACGGCCCCTACATGAGTCACTACGGCACTAATCCCTAGTCACTTCGGCCGACTCAGACCAACCACCCTAGTCACTTCGGCCATCATTAGAAAGTATTTTTAATGAAAACTGGCATTCTTTCCTGCTTGCATTAATAGGAAATAATTACAGTAAGACATGTTGATAAAAGAAAATATATTTAACACAGAAATAGCTACATAACCAGAATGTATATGGTTCATACAAACTGTACAAATCCTAGTCGTACAACACATATAAGGGAATCATATTAATTTTTACATAACTTCGAACATGCTTTTAAGAGGTGATTGGTGGTTATTTCATGGTCTTCATACCGTTTCCATAGGGCAAATATTTTGCCTTGGACTGTTCTAAACTGACGGCGCTGGCAACGTGTGTGTTTACCATCCTTGACAAGACGGACCTCTACAGTTACATTTCTTGCTTCTTTGTACAGTAATGGCACTAAAACATAAAATGGAATATGAGAGCTGCCTGCCATACCATTCAACTTTCTGTGGTATCTCTCTACGTCATTGTTAGTCCGGATACTCTGCCCGAATACAATCCAGTCACTTGGCGCCCAGAATCCATTGATCCAAGTTTCTTTAATATATTCCATTAGAATTTGAAGTGGTCCAGGAGGCACTCGTAATTCAATCTGTTCAAATGTTTTTATGTGTTCTTCAGGGAGGAAAGGAAGTGCCATGAGCTGCCTTATGAAATCCTTAGTTGGGCGATGATTCATGTATGGTGCAGCCAGTCCTATTTCTTGGATTTTTCTCCAAATGGCTTGATTCCAATGGAATGAGCATCCTTGCAATTTTACCATCGGGAGTAATGTCCTGACAGCCGACCATACAGCAGCTTCAAAATCCAAAACCAATTTCTCTACTTTGCCCTCCTGTAGTATGTCTAAAATAGCCTTAAAAACTTTCTTGTAATCTTTTTTTCTTTTCCCTGACATGAGGGTAAATACTAGAGGTACTTGTTTTATATTTCCTTCGATTCCTTTCACAAATGCATGGATGCCAAATACACGAAATGTAGCATCCACGTACCACGTCCTTGCATTCTTGAGTAAAGCAAGTTGTTTAGAAGTAGTGAATACTAAGTGTCGGCCACCAGTTATAACAATATCCTTCTGAAGGAACTCTTTTGGGATGTAATTGTCATCCAATTCAAAGTTCAAATTATCTGGTTCATCAGGTCTGTCACCCTATCTAAGGCGATTTAGAGACCGTGCTATATTAACTGTATTTAAACAGGCTGCATCATCCCCTTCTGTGGCAGTTATAGCACGATCCACTAAAGAAGAAGCAGATGAAAAAATGTTCACCTTCTCTTTGGCTAAGGCCTTTGCAGCAGCAATGACTTCAGCCTTAAAAGTAGCACCTTGTTGGGGTTCGTGAACATGATGATGAAATCCTCCGGTGAAAATGGAGCCATTCTGAAGGACAGTAGCAGGACATGTTAGCATCTTGTTTCTCACACTACAGCGCCAAGTTACTGTACCAGTTGGATTTTTCTTCTTCCAAGTTGCCGTGACTGGGCGTGCCCTTCGGGCACTGCCCAAGGGGAGGGTTGATGGGGGGCCTCTGCCCCCTAACACCCCCTGTCAAACATTCTCTTCACCTCGATATACACGGCCAGATAGAGCTTGATACAGGTCTTCATGTTTTACTTGTTTTACCAGTTTATTTATTTAATTAGCCAAGGGGGCACGACTACCCTGGACCCCCTCTTTTACTTTTACCGAGAAGGATATGTAGTGTAAGATAAAACGTAAATGATATGACGACGTACCTGTGGAGGATACAAATTAGCAGTGGCAAGGAGGAAGCGATGCAGTCTTAAGTTTGAATCTGGGATGTTCATTAAAAACATCGCACGTGCCAGATACCCAACAAAATTTCCTCCTGCCATAATGTGGTACTTTAGCCTTCGCTTCCCACCACTTACGCTCGATGGTGTTGGTATGAGCCGCAGTGATGGGACCCACAAAGTTGAGGGAATGGTTCACTGTAGGGTAGTGAAACCCCTCTTTATTTAAACAGTTATATGCCTTCCAGCAGTCGCTAATGATGGTGGTCCCTTCTTGAACATGATCTTTTATCACTGCCAGAAGAAGGGTCTCAGCATCTCTGGAGGGCACCGAAATAAGAAAAAAATTTCGGCTTTCACGGGACACCCTACTGAAAACCCACTGGCCCTCAATCACACTGCCAACGTTATATTTTCTTTTGCCGAATTTTGATTCGTCTATTTCAACAATCGTGCCAGGGCCACCAATCTTTTCAGCACTTCCCAGCAAAAACTTCCCCAGTCACAAATTGTTTTATTGGAGAGTTTAAGTTCGTCTCTTACTACGGAGTAAGAGAAATAATCTCTCAAAAATTAATAAATAGTATATTTGTTTCAGCGTCTAGGTTTGATTTAGCAAACCAAATTTTATGAAAAATTGTTTTTTTAAAATTACACCTCACATTTCTATTGTTAATTTTTTCGCCACAGAATTTTTCGCTCTACGCTGAACATTGCTCATTCGAATTGTTGCCAGCCGCGTGGGCCCCCGCCAAGGGATTTTTTCTGGCGCAGCGCGGCTGCGCAAAGACCATCATATCAATTTTGCAGTAATCTGTCCATAGATCTTGTAGTAAAGTTGGGTTTTATATAAAGGTAATGTGTAGAAATTGCACTTTTCTCATGGTGTTTTCTAGGCACTCTTTCGCCTTTGTAATTAGGAGAAATACTGAATTGCTTCCAAGTTGCCTATATTTACAGATGACATGAACCCTTTGAGGCTAAAAGTTAGTGTTGTTTTTGAACGATATGGTAAACTATGCCTTAGCGTTTTTTTTTTTTTTTTTTTTTTTTTTTAAACTTTCAAATGAAGCAAAATATGAAGCTCAGCAGCAAGCCAAATATCATTTTGATGCTCAGAAGTAGTGCATTATCCATGTGAGAGATCAAACCATGTTTTTTTTTATTTCTTTCAACAGAAAAAGGAAAAAAAAGCAGAAGTGGATGTAGCTTTACTTTGATGCTCAAAAATAGCTTTGTATTGATATGAGAGGTTATACTGTGTAAGTTTAGTTGTCTATATCAACAGATGACATGACACTTTGATGCTAAAAGTTAGTGGTTTTGAACGAGATGTCAAACTATGGACTTAGCCGTTTTTTTGTTTTTTTTTCAAACTTTCAAATGAAGCAAAATATGAAGCTCAGCAGCAAGCCAAATATCATTTTGATGCTCAGAAGTAGTGCATTGTCCATATGAGAGATCAAACCATGTTTTTTTTTACTTCTTTCAACAGAAAAGGAAGAAAAGCAGAAGTAAATGTAGCTTCACTTTGATGCTCAAAAATAGCTTTGTATTGATATGAGAGGTTCTACTGTGTAAGTTTAGTGTTTTTTTTTTCTTTCGTAGTGGACTTGTCAGAGAGAATTTAGCTTATTTATATATGATAAAAGTTGCTGTTTTTTATATAAGAGGTCAGAATGTGGACTTTTCTGCCATTTTCAATTACAAAAAGAAGAACAAGAAACAGAATTGTACCCATCACCATTTTTATTTTTGCCATTATATAATTATATTATATAACCTTCTCTTCATGATACCTTTCAAAGCACCCATAGGTGCAAAGGGATACCTCACAGGTAGGGCAGATCGTCCTGGTCATCTTCCGCTTCCCGGCCTTGTAGCATAAGAAGCACCTGCGATACTTCCTGCCAGGCGTCTCTCTTACCATGTGGCGT